GCCCTCTGAAGATTACAACCCACTGGGGATCCCAGTACTAATGTTCTAATGTTACCACCCATCCGGTTTTCACCCAGACAGTCCGGGAATTGACTCACTGTCCGGGTGAAGTATTAATTTTGTCCGGGAATTTTGTAGTGTGAAATTATGATGAAACAAAGTTCTTGCAAATATTTTTACAAATTTACACTATTTTTAACAGCGAAATAACTCACTCTCACTGAAACTCATCTGCAATTCTGCCATATTAGCCTGTTTATGCGGACGTGTAGCATACAACCTGTCAACCTTTTATTTTTTTTTTCCTTGTATGATCATACATGTCTCCAATAGAGCTAAGTTATCTGTATGTGTTCTTTCTTAATTTAGGATTACTTATGTTATTCCTATGCAAGTCCCTAGTGCCTAACTGTAACTGATTTAGAACCGGTATGCACGTTATTCTTCGCATTGTAAAATGACATTGTGCATCGTCAGGAACTTCTGTTTGAACAAACCTGACCTGCCATCCGGGTCAGCGATTTTGAAAAGGTGGCAACACTACCCAGTATCCTGATGGACCAGTTTAACCCTAAACATTCTCATTTGTTATAACCTGCTAACTCTGTATTGATGTATAGTTTCTACAAATTATCTGCTATCCTTTTCATTTTATTTTTTAAAATGCATTATATATATATATCTTTTTGAAAAAGATAAATTAATTAAAAAACATTGATTTGAATTTGATAGAAATTAAATCATGTACTATACTAGTATTGAATACATTGGACTAGATTGGAATTGGAAATATAATTCATTCTTTTTAAATTCAAAATTCTTGTGCATTTAGAATGGTTAGAAAATAACTTAAAAAATTTAAAAGTCTATTTGGAAAACAGAAGTAAAACAATCTTAAAACTCATATACTTAAATAGATTATATATTATGATTAGGTTAGTTGACAGAATATTTCATTCTTATTTTATTACTTTTATGTCATATATTATTTTAAAATTTCAGTGAATCTTGATTTGTTTTACATATTTATGCAATTATCATCAGCAAGTAATTTAATCCATTTTATCTTATTTCAGTTTCCATTCTAAATGAAAAAAAGTATATTCCTATTTATATTCTTTTATTTATTACTGTAATATGGTGATTTATTGTTGCATATCATATTTGTCTTTAATAGAATTTGTTAAAAATCAAGCTGCTGTTATAAATTTTGACATTTGGTAGCTCTTCAATGCAGCCAAGATTCTCCAACTTGTATTCTCATACTTATTATCTCAAGATTTATAATTAGTACATGTATATTGGTCCCAGTTTTTGATTACATTTTAAAAATAAGGTTATGTCATTATCTGTTAAGAAGTAAAGAATAATGCAACTTCACTCTTTATTGTTTGTAAAATCTTTATTTCCTTATTTTTTATTTGCATTATAAATATTTATTACATTCAATAATTTGTGATTTTTACTGTATATTGCACTTCATAAGGAAACAAGATATTCACTGATATCTAGTTAGATATATAATCCAATTTTCTATTCAAAGCCTGTTAGGAAGTTTTATTTTCAGTTAGTAGTAAGTACTAAAAATTCTGTTTGGATTCATTCATGTAATACATTGATATAAATTTTCAAAATAAGATGAATGATTTTGAATCTAATATATTCATATAAGAGGAATTCATTTTTAACATAAGAAATATTGTAATTAATTTATATTGTTTGAAAGTCAATTTTTAATTCTTTATTTTCAACTCAAATTTGTAAAATTTTTCTATGCTGTTTAAAACAATAAACAGGCTTAGTCTGTTTGTTGTTTTCAGTCCTTTCATTCAGCTCTTTCAAATGCTCTTTAATACAAATTAAATTCATTTGATTATAAAAATCTTAAACATTTTAAAATTCTATAAGTTTTTCTGAATCAAAATTAAACACTTCAAACATAGATTTTATGAGCTATTCAAAGTAGTACTAGGTTAATGCTGAAAATAACTTTATTATAATTATAAAAGCAATTTTGCATAACATCGAATGCTAATTACTATGTATAAATTAATCCTTATTAAAATTGTAAAAAAGTTGCTCAAGTCATAAGCTTCTCTTTTCTCTCTCTTTTTTTTTTCGTAAGTTCTAACTGATATTTATATTTCAGATCTAATTTCTGCACCATTTATCATTTTATATAACACAGGATGATCATAATTTAAAGAATGGATGCTCAGAGATTTCTGTGAAAAGAATTATTGGATCAGTTAAAACCAAATTTGGTACACATACTGTTTTGAGTATGTAGTTTTGATTTTTCAGAAAAAATTTTATTTCAAAATTCAGACATTAGGATCAAATTTGATGCTGCTGTCCCTTAATTAATGTGCAAACAACATTTTTCACAAAAGAGTGATTATTTCCAATGTCGTGGCCACCAGATCTGGATTCCTGTGACCTTTGTTATTGGACTATCTAAGAACCTTGTTTATCAAGATAATGTTCTCTATCTAGCTGTTGTAAAGAGAATTTCATAAGTGCAACAATACTATGTAGGTCAGATGTGTTCCACTATTGTGTGTGTTATGTATACAAAATTTGGTTACGATTTGTCCAATAGATCTTTCTACAGAGATTTCTGAACTCAAATTATGATCATCCTGTTAGGGACAAATTTATGGGGTGCATAGGACACAGATGCACCTCTTCTGGTCTTCCTCCTGAGTAAAGACAGGTATCACAGATAGTAAAAAATTTTGTATATTGTTTCCATTCGCACCTCTCTAAAGATTTCTGGATCTGCTATTGCACATTCAAAATCAGTTAGTTTTTCATCCCAAATTTTTATAAATGCTATAAGAACATTAATTAGAACTGTCAGTTCAAACCTTCTAATATTATACATTAAAACCTGATGAAGACCTATGAAATTGGTTGAAAACATTTGTTTGAATAGTATTATGGGAAAAAGTATTTAAGATACATCATCTTAAATACTTTTGAAAGATTGTTGAATCAATCTTTCATTGCACACAAAAAATAAATTTTAGTCATCTTCATTACTATTTTCCATTTTGCCAATTTTTTCATTGCTTGAAAATCTTATGGACATTACTATAACTTTCTTCTTCAGATTCTTCTGATTTAGTTTTCAAGAAGTCAATTATGAGAATCTGCTGAGTGTTTTGTTGCAATTGTTTTTGAAATTGATGCTAAACAAATTTCTAATTCTTTGAATAAGGTAAACAGATGATTTTGTATGAACTTTTATTTCGAAATTGCATTGTATAAGTATCACATTATACCAAGGTTACTTATAAATTCATTTTTTTCTTAGAATTCAATTATCTTGTAATGTATTTAAATTGAAAGTATAATATGTTATTCTTGCTTAATAATTTACTATGAATACTTTGGAAAATTACATCATAAACTGCTAATAAATTTTGAATTTTTTATTGCAGTTCATCCTGTATGTTTTATGTTTCAAGTGATTAATATTGGTATTCTTAAGAATATCATCATAGTGTGAGGAGATTTTGACAGCCAAGCGGTCAACACTGTCATGTGGGTGCAGAAGGACTCACTGAGACAGGTTTACCATATAAAACCGTTTAATAACATTAAAATTTCTTACAATATTTTCTTGATTGACGGATTATCACACCACAAAGCGTGAGGATAAAGTTCAAGTAGAGTTCGAAAAGTTTGTGTTTCTGTTTTCCACAGTTTGGCAAAGACGATGAAATAATCGTCGATCCTGGGGTGAATGGCACTGCTTCAGATGGTTTTTCTCGGACGAACCGACGAGCCTGGAGGTTGTCCAGTGACACTACAGATGATGTTGCTTCCACTAGATCCGAAATGTTCTTTTCAAGATTCAGCAGGGACACACATGTTCAGGATGATAAGACTATGAACCAAGAACCAAGAACTTTTGTAACTTGAATTGCACGGTTTTATAGATTTCCTAACCTCAGTCACCACTCCATTGGTGTCTTCTTGTCACCTGGTGACAATTCAACACCTGATGGAGGGCGCAGGAGAGGTCAGCGTCGCAACTGAATATGATTCCTCTTTCATTGCTTTTTCTCAACTTTATTCCTTTCCATTGTTTAACTAATTTACACAAAAATTTCCATTGTTCGATTGAGACATCTAATCCTTTCCATTCGCATCTGAAAAGGAGCACTCTAAATTTCCGATCGATACCCTTCATTCGGACCTCTCAGTCGACCCCTGTTCGGGTCCTCACAATAGCTATCATTTGTTTCACAGCTAAGTCAGTTGCTATTTGTAATAAAAAATAACTAATAAATGTACTTTTAACATTCTGTCTAATATCAAAAATATGAAGCAGATTTAATGTATCCTATTTTGTTTATAACTCTAAAATATGAAAAGTATATCTGAAATAATTTAACTAAATGAATTAAATTTGATTTTAAAATATTGAAAAGTTAAAAGTAATACTGTAATATAGTGATTCCCAAACTTTTTTGATCCACCTTTGTTCCATAAAGTTATACCCAACGCCCCCTAATCCATTTTCTCTTGTGTGAGAAAGGATTGGAAATATTCCTAGAAAAACTTTTCTATGAATCTCTCACTTTGTGTCCTTACCGTACATTGTTCTCAACATCTGGAAACCATTAAACACAATGTTTCCTCTTATCAGTTTAACAGAGGAAAGGGAATGGCTTTCAGTAACCCCAATTTTGCCTTTATTCATGGTTCAATACCCTGCCTCCAGCACCCCTAGATTTACTCATCGCCCATAAGGGGGTGTTATTGCCCACTTTGAGAAACACTGCTGTAATATAATAGAGCTAAGTTTAGAATAAAACTATTGAAATATAACAAATAAATTCTGAAAATTCTAAAATATGATAAGATTTCATGAAAGTTTTTGGTTTAGGATTTTTTTCTTGTAATATTAAATGATTCTATAGAATTTATATAAAAGTTTAAATTTATTTTCTGGTAATTAATTTCTTTTAATTTAATGATTTATTTAGATCATGCCAGTTAATATGCAAGATGTTGTTGAGGTTGTGTGTGTTTTAGCAGATGAAGAAAATATTAGAATTGCTGTAAAGGAATCTGTAAAAGGGGGTATTATAACTGGTGTTGCAGTAGTAGTTGGTGGTGTAGCTCTTGGACCAATTGGACTTGCAATTGGTAATTTATTTCTTTTTTTCTTTAATTATATATTCAATTTTTTCTGAATTAAATTTCACAATTAATTAATGTAATAAGAATATACTGGATTATGCACTTACATTTATTAGGTGGCACATTAGGAGGTATTTATTCAGCCATTGTTGCTTCTGGAAAATTTAAATCTGCTGCAGAAATTATAAGGTGCATGAGAGATGAAGATAAAGAAAGATTAGTGAATGCTGTTTTACAAGTTGCAAACAATTTTGATATAAATGATGTAACTCGATTAGCGGCTCTGATAGCAGGTGATACTATTTTAAGAGAACAAATTTTAAACACGGTAATTACTTATCTCCGGAGTGAAATGAAAATGCAAATAATTGACTGAAGAATCTTTCTGTATCTTTTTCTATCTTGTGTTACTTTTTGTATATGCTTATTTGTGTTCATTTGAATGATCATAATTATTTTATATACAATAATATAAATATGACATTTTTTTTCTTTTTAAATAGAATAAATAGCAGGTAATGATAGATAATTAGTCCAATATCTTGCATTGAATGTTAAGTTTACATTAGCAATAATAGAAACATGAGAATGCTAGGTATAATTTAACGTACTTGTGCCATATCAAAATCTTACCTGTGATTGCATATATCATATAATCATTGATATATTAATGTCTCCAGGTAACTTGACATATTAAATACTGCGGGTAATCAATTAGAAAGAATATCAAATTAACTAATAAATATATTGCAACAGATTTGGATAAACATTATTCTATCAGAAGAAAATTTTTAGAATGATAAAAAATATATTAAGTCAAATGTAATGAAATTTTGTACAATCAAAATTTAATTTTAGAAATGTGGTTATTAAAATCCAAACAATTCAATTACCATATTTTGATGCATATAACCCACAATGGCATATATTCTTCAGACAATTGCTAGAACAAAAATGAAACATCCACATAACTTGCCACACCTATGAAAGCAGCCATTGCTCCATAGGTATGAATTTATGATTGCAAATTCTATGTATAGTCTGCCCCTCCTATAATTGTTTTTGACGCCAAGTTATATGCACAAAATACACTATTGCATTATTACAATTGTTCAACATTATGTAATTTAAAATTTTATGATATTATTTGCCAGATGAACTTCTAATTCAATAATAATGAAAATTCAGACTTATTTTTAAATAAATTGATTTGAAAGATAGGCTGACTTTACTTGATTGATGATAATTTAATTACAAGAAAATTTTAATGTTTTGGTGTATAATATAGAAACTTTGTAATATTTACAATAGTAATATTGAAGCACAAAATCCTTAACTTTTTATTTGGTTGATTAGATGATGGAGTATCAGCACAATTTTCCAAAAATCAGCAGTATGAATCTGTCAACTCATTGTTACTTTATTGTTTTTTTAGCAATTTCATAATGAAACTTGAAGTTTTATGCTTTAAAAAGATGATTTTTTACAAAAATATATTACTTCTAAAGCCACTGGTGATAAATAAATTGTAATATGAACGGTGATAAATGTCATATTGTCAGTTATTTATGACAATGAACCAAAATCAAGGCTGTAAAATATGTATTGTAATCTTTAAATATTTATTTTGGTAAAACAAGCATTTATGGTTTAATTTCTTGTCCTGAAAACTTTCCTTAAAAATAAATACTTTAATTAAAGAGGAGAAAAACAGGTATTTATATAAAAATTGTTGTTCTAAAATAAAATATACTTCCCATAGCCTTGATTCTGTTTACTGTGTAAAATAACAACACTCCAAATAATTGTCATTGTCTATAATACAATTCACAATGTTCCTGGATATGCTCACTATCCAACTGTTCCCATTGTGGGCCTGGCCTAATTCATAGTATGTATTAAAAAAAAAGTCTTCTCAGTGCCCACAGGGTGAAAACAGTATAAAAAAAGTGCAATTCATGAAAATCTTTGTGCAATATTTTAGAGATAGAGACTAAAAATTATTTAATAAAAAATCCAATTTGTACGGCTGTGTGGTTTATTTTTATATTTTTTAATGAACTATTAGATTTCATAATTTCAAGAATATACAATTAAAATTAAATATTTTACTCCTTAAATATTTATGTCCATTTTTTGTAACAGAAGGAATGTTCAAACCATCATATAATGTGTGTATTGATTATGATAAATAAAATGTTTTAAATATAAGAATATTTTTTATATATTATAGAATAATAAGGTACTGTACCATTACAATTTACAAAACTTTAAAAAAATCTCTAAACATCTTTTTATATTTTTCATATATTGAAGTTATTGCCAAATTTAGGATTTAAATTAATAATTTATTTATTTTACTTTTCTGTATATTATGAAATTTAGTGGTCCAAAAAATGTTTAGAAATAAATATAAAACTTTGTTTTTAAATACTCTCTTAACATAATGCAGCTGTAATGCTTCAAATATACATTAAACATTGATTTATCTATGTAAGGTTCAGATGGTAGATTTTAATGAAATTTATCTAATTACTAGGAAAAAATGTGTGTATTTTTAAATTCATTGATATATAACCAGGACATTTCATTTACCTTGTACACAGGACACATGCCCTGCCTGCCTCCTAGTTGTGCCATTGCACAGTCTTATGTGGTTCTCAAATATTAGAAATCAAGTTTGCATAAGAACATTCAACCATTCAAAAATTCGAAATAAAAAGCTTTCCTATAATCTACTCCTATTCTAAACATCTCATTTTTGGAAGAGGGATTTTAGGAAATTTGGTATTTCTAACTATTTTGATTTAACATCCAAGTAGTAAAAAGCTAATCTGACTGACAACACTATAGTAATAGTGCCATTGTGACTTCATTAAAATCACAGTGATATGTTATATCCAGATATCTTTGGTTTGCAAGTTACAAACACTCACTCACACAATACACTTTGGCAAGATCAGGACAGAATGATTGCTTTAATGTTGATTCACAAGTGTGGTTATTGAAATATTAGCCATCCAATATACTAATTTTAATTATATTCATTACACTTAAATTATTATTTCAGCTGTCAAATTTCTAATCATATGGATAATTCTTAAATTAGTAAACAAAATTTATATTTAAAAAAATTACTGAATTCTAGTTTAGAATATTATTACATAAGCTAACATTGTTGAAATTCACCTATTAATAAAGTTAGAAAAAATTTCATTTTTAAAAATTTAAGTCCATTCCAATAAAGAATACAGTGGTACCTCAGGATATGAACGCCCCAGCACATGAAATTTTCAGGATACGACATGAAATTCAAACATATTTTTGCTCCATGATACAAACAAAAACTCACCATACGACGTTACATTAGTTCGCAGCACCATTTTTTATTCACTTCGTCATGGAAGGATCTCACTCGATAAAGGAAATCTTGAGGTATTATTAGAAAGTGACTGATTTTATTGAAAAGAAACATTCCAAAAAGGTTTACACTAGCCGTATTGCTGCTCAGAGTAATGACATTTGCCTAAGTAATTTTAGAAACATTTTAAAAAGTACGCAAAGCCAAACCTCTTTGGATAGATATTTTACCAAGCGAAGGAAAGAAAGCAAAAAGTAGTGAATAAAAATTTTTAAATTTTTATATATATTATATATA